TATTGCTTCAAAATAAATCGTTTACTCCACCAAAGATCTCAGTGATGCAGTTATTTTGCAGGGATATTTTGTATGGAATATTGTCTGCTGACATGAAAAGTTCACTGTATATCGTAGTAATAAATATCATTTATTACAGCAATGATATTTTGTTTTCTTTTTAATTTATACACATTAAATATGTAATAAATGTGTATTTCCATTACAGGTTTAGGTCTTAAATTTCATATAAGCTGGTATTTAAAAGGTCTTAAAAAGTCTTAAATTTAACTTGTTCATGTCTGCAGAAACCCTGTATAGTTCATTTATGTAAGTGAGGACAGCAAAATAAAGTAAACTGTGATAAATTATACCCAAATATTCTTCATACAGTGGACTACCAGTAAAACTGATAAAAATAATTTTTGGTTGATTGTAATCAATTACATACCTTTCTATCAAAGTTATCTAACGTTATCAAGCTGAATTTGTTCTGACACAGTTTAACTCTGAGTTCTTGTCATATTTTATTACCATTTTCTAAACTATAGCGAGTAAACTGTGATAATGTGTGAAATGTAACTATAGCGAATAAACTGTGATAATGTGAGAAATGTTGAAGGTGTCTGAATATATTTTGGTTTGACTGTATCTATTTGATAAATGAAGTTAACCAACTAACATTATACATACTCTTTTGGTTTCTGTACCCAATATTTAAAAAGTTTACAAATGCAATAAAAATATTGGTATCGGTACTCCTGTATCGGCAAGTACCAAAAATAAAAGTATCGGTATCGGGCGAGTACTGGAAAAAGTGGTATCGGTGCATCCCTAATTAATACAATACAATACAAAAAAAATTAAATATTTATGCGTAAAGCACATTTAAAAACTGCCAAAGTTGACCAGAGTGCTGTACAGAATAGAATAAAAATTCAGAAATAAGATGAATAAAACAAGACTATCAAATTTAAAACACAACAATAACAAAACAACAATTAAACCAATGATCAAGGGGTATTGAAAGCTAGAGAGAATAGATATGTCTTTAGAGCAGACTTAAAAGCAGAAATAGAGGGGGGTAATCTAATATGAAGAGGTGGACTGTTCCAGAGTTTCTGACCTGCAGTTGCAAAAGCTCGATCACCGTGTTTTTTAAGTCTAGATCTAGGCACGATGAGTAGACAGAGATCACTGGATCTCAATGTTCTACACGAGTGAATCAGATCGCTGCTCTACTGCAGGATAAACACTGTGTGATGATGAACACGTAGGTTATCATCACGTGAACATCAGTTCACAGTGTTATTGTGTATATTGATTTACTGTTTGTTATGATTATGATTTGATGTGTATGGAGACAATGTCATGTCTAGTGTTCAAATTGTATTTTGTAGTTGAGTACAAGAATCGAACAGAGAATTTGAAGTTTTCATATTTATTTTATTGTGCATATGTTTATCGTTTAATACATTTCATAGTATAACTTACCTATCTGGTCCTGTGTTTGGGAGGGGAGTGTTCTGATGACGTGAATATCACAAATTACTCTGTTAATTAGTGGTTAGTCCATTTACTAGGACAGAGATGGATATAGATGCTTTGAAATGGTAATTGTATTATTTGGAATGTGTATTGTTTGCATTTGATCAATAATAATATTCATGATTATGATTGTGTGTTTAAATGTGTATGTGATAGCACTGATGCTGAACTAAATGTGTATTCTTTGTAACGAGTGTTAATTGACCCCTATAGTTAGTATGATCCGCTAGTGTTTGGCGGGAAGATTGCATACAAGTGATAGCGTTTGTGTGTAAGTACGGCTAGTGGGGCAATGGACGGCCAAGTGCTGTAGCATGTGAAGCCAAATGCTAGTAATATGTGTGTCTGAAGTGAGACTAAATTGTCGCGGCCAGGTCTGATGCCTTGTTTTGCTGCTCTCAGCATGTTTTATTTCTCTGTTATGCACAGTTAATTTGAGTATTTTTTTGGTTGGTTTATTTTTGTTTATTTTGAAGTTTGGTTGGAGCACGTGTGACGAGACAGCTGTCAGAAATAAAATCACTTGGACCTTAATGATTGCCTACGTTGTACTCGACTCATTTGGTCCCTTCCCAGGCCCTACGGCAGAAATACACGTTACAACTCGGGTAGCTGTAAACCAACCAGCCATCCGACATCTGGTGGCAGCAGCTTTCCGACACACTGTCAGTTCAACACACTGACATAAGTTTTTCGTTGTTACAAAGACATTTTAAAATTCTTGCTGCTGGGTGTTTTTATGTGACTTGTATAAGAGATTGCTGACTGAAAAAACATATTTGACTTTTGTAATGTGGTTATCATCATCATCACCAGTATTGGTCAACTGTCAGCTGAAACATACTGGTCATCATCATCATCATCACCAGTATTTGTCAACTGTCAGCTAAAACATGCTGGTAAATATTAAGATTAAAACTGGTGTTTTCTCTTTATGCAGTCTGAAGAACAACTGTATCACAGAAGGAGCTTGTCATGTTCTGGCTGCAGCTCTAAATTCAAACCCTTCAAATCTGACAGAGCTGGATCTGAGTGAGAATAAACTAGGAAACCCAGGAATGAAGATCATCTTGACTCTGTTTGAAAATGTACAGTGTAGACTGGAAAAGCTGAAGTAAGTATTTTAAAAGTGTGTCTCATTACCCAGACTCTAGTGACCCACCACTGTTTCATAAATTTGAAAATATTTTACACTTCTCATCAGGACTGCACAATTAATCAAAATAAACTCGAAATTGTGATGTGTTATTGCAGTTATCAAATCACAAAAGGCTGCATTTTAATTAAATATACAGTCTGCAGTGCCACATGCTTAAGAGTGAAGTGCATTTACATGTGAGCAGATCATGAGTTATATCAATAAATCTTGTTCTTCAACCAGTACCCTCCAACATTTAGCATCAGCACACTGGAGAAGTTACAAGAGTAGAAGTTCTGAATGGCTGTTAAATAAAAAAAAAGTCTGGTGAGCGAGTTATTTTGAGCTTATAACATGAATTTGAAAGGTTCACCTAGTTTTACGTTCATGTAATTTCCAACATTTTTTGGCAGATGATGTTAACAGATTTCACCAGATTTGTACAACAAAGTGTTTATTAACCTGTTGTGAACTAAACACAGAAACTTAAAGGTCACTGTGTAATTTTCCACCAAAATAAAAGCCTGAGGGCTTAACATTTGAAAGTAAAGAAATGAAGACATAAATATTACAATAATAAATGTATCATTCCATCCTTCAAAACTGAAATCCTTCTCCAATCTGCTTGTTCTGTGTAGCATTGTAAGTATGGTTTAGGCTTAAGTGTTGTACTGTAAAAAACTAAATATTATTATAATTATCAAATTAAAAAAAATCTCATATTGGCAGATAAAAGTAGTAGCTAAAGTTGCGTAATTGTATGTGTAGCTTAATTAGTTGTGTTCTCTCTTCTACAGGTTAAACTGCATCAGTATTACAGATGAAGGTTGTGCTGCTCTGGCATCAGCGTTTAATTCAAACCTCAGAGAGCTGGATCTGAGCAGGAATCAAATAGCAGACTCTGGAGTGACAGAAATCTCCAGTCTGCTGAGAAATTCACAGACACTGCAGATACTCAGGTCTGAATTTGGTTAATCTAAACATGAATCAATGTAAAGCTCCAGCTGGTCTGTAAACTGATGCTGTGTCACAAGGAATGGGTCAGTAATGTGAATCTGTGTGTTGGTGTAGATACATTTATAAAATATTGACAAACAGATTG